ACAAAGGGAGCACTGACATGGACGGGCAGCCCCGTGGCCATCTCGTCAGTGGCTGGCAGGGGTAGGAAGCAGCAGAGCCGCCCTTGGCAGGGCCCACAGAGGGGGTGTGCCAGGCTCAGCTCAGGGCAGCACCCTAGCCCTGTGCCCAGTGCCATGACTGGCCCCTCCATGGCCCTGCCTGTGGCCACCAGCCATTCATTCATGTCGCCCACACCTTCCCCACGCAGGGCCACCAGGCACCACGCCAGACTCAGTCCCTCATCCCCTGATGGCACTGGGACAGGGAGAGGCTGAGGGGATGCCACAAGAGTCCCCATGAGTGTCTGGACCCCATCTGGGGCCAGGTACAGGGTCACATGGCGGACATGGCGGAGGAAGAGGAGGGCAAGAGGGCCCTCAGTGAGGAAGGTCTGGATGAGGCTGCGAATGCGCTCAGGATCGGAGACCCCTGAAGTGATTTCCGAGTGTTGCCGGCGGAGAGGAAAGAGGAAGAGGGTGCCCTGGGCAGAGGCACGGTGTTGTCCCACAGCTTCCAGTCCAGCCCAGAAGGGCTCAAAAAGGCCGGGAAAGTCCTGGGCCGCAGAGATGTCCCAACGCTTGCCAGCACCTGGCATTCGGGGTCCAGCGCTCCCAAGTATGGGGGGCTCAACACACCTGGTAGGTCTGGAGACATGGGAACCATGAGGCCTCCACAGGGATGACACAGACACAACTGCCTTCCCAGATCATCTCAACCCATCAGTACCCCAAATGCCCATCCAATACTCTCAAGTTCATCTCCACAGTGCTTCCCATGATCCAAAGCCTAATCCCAGTTCATCAGTCCTCCCTCAGTTTGCCACTTTTGCTCTGCCCTTCACTGCCAACTAGCCTCCCGTCAGCCTCCTCAGGTTTCCTCACTTCACACTGCCCTCCATTTTGCATACTGCCCCCTAGTTCTCCCCAGCTCCTATAGTTCAGAGCCTGCAGTAAAACCCATGTCCCCAGGTCAATCCCAGTTGAGGCTTCCAGTGCTACTCACCAGTGAGGTGGTAGACAGAAGTGAAGCCTAAGCCGAAGCGTCCCACAGTGTGGGGATCCACCCGTTTGTGCAACACCCCTGGGCGTTGAATCCCTGTCCAGTCCTGAGGTGACATCACAGCATCACTGTAGGCCAGGAGAGCTGGGCCTGGTGATCAAGACCGTGAATTAGGGGAGAACTGGGACATATAGGGAGCTCTGTGACCCAGACGCAGTGCTCCCACAATCTCAGTCCCACAAAAGCCTCCTCAGTATCACTGAGTCTTCCCAGTACCCTCAGTGCCCTCAGAACATCCCAAAACCCCTCATCAGTTCCAGTTCCCCCAGTTCCCCTGATCCTTCTTCATTTCTTCACCAGTATCACCCAGTCCCTCCCATTATCAACCAGTGCCACCCCAGTGCTTCATCCAGTCTCTCCCAGCGCCGATAGCACCTCTCACCCTGGGTGCCCTCCAGTCTCCCTCTAGTGATGTTGAATTCCCGCTCATCAGACACAAACACGACCTCATTAGCACCAGCATCATCCGCATTCTGCACCAGCTCCTGGAATTAGGGATGAGTGCCTGGTCACCTAGGCTGTCCCAGGCCCATGAGAAAAGCACTGATCTGCCTGGGAACCAAGGCTGATGCTGGGCAAGGACCAACCCCCCACTGCCTGGGTTGATCTGCCCAGCTGGGCAGGAGGGTCTGGATGGGTGGGTTCCCTGGGAGTCTCACCTTGAGGATCTGCCCCCCATCTGGGTACTTCTGCAGGATGCTGTGCAGGTAATCAAGGAAGACAGGTGCCTGCTGGCAGAAAGTCTCCCTTGTAAAGCAGAGAGAAGGGGAAAGAGTGTGGAAGAGGGTGTGTAACCAGGACCTCATGTCCTCCTTGGATCCCCCAGATGTCCCCTTCCTTGGAGTCAAGGACTCCATCTCTTCCCAGGAGTCACTTAAACAACCACCTCCAAGGACTACACCCACACTTTCCCAGGGTCCCCACTGCTTCCTGGGATGCTACAGTGTCCTGGTTTTGGTTGTGATAATTTTCTTCCCAGAAGCTGCATTTTGGATTTAGCAGGAGACCAATGTTTGTAACACACAGATGCTGGAACGGGTGTTCAGTCATGCTTATTCAAAGTCAAGAACTTTTCAGTGTCCCATTCTCTGCCAGTTAAGGGGGAGCATGGCCAAGAGAGCTGACCCAAACTGGTTGGGTACTAAGAAGACTGTCATGGTTTAATCCCAGCTGGGAACTCAGTCCCAAGCAGCCGCTCGCTGCTCCCAGAGGGATGGGGAGGAGAATCAGGAAAAGCTAAAACCCGTGGGTTGACATAAAGAACAGCTTAATAATTGAAATAAACTAAATACATTGATATTACTGCTACTACTAACATTAATGAGAAGGAGAGAGAGAGAAACAAAACCCAAGAGAAGTGCTGCCAGTGATGCCCATCAGTCACTCACCACCCCTCTGATCCATGCCCAGCCCACACCCCAGCAGTGACCAGCAGCTCTCGGACACCCCACCATTACCACTCTGTTTCTACACTGGGCAGGAGGTTTTGTGGTACAGAACATCCCGCTGGCCAGTTTGTGTTGTCTCTCCTGGCCATGCTCCCCCTTCAGTGGCAGAGCACAGGACACTGAAAAGTCCTTGACTTGGAGTAAGGAGTAAGCACGACTGAACACCAGTTGCAGTATGTGTGTTACCAACGTTGTTCTCCTGCTAAATTCCAAACACAGTGCTGGACCAGCTTCTGGGAAGAAAATTAACTCTATCCCAGCCAAAATCAAGACATTCAGCAACCCGGAAACTCCCTCCCTGCAAGCCCTGACGTCCACAGTCCCCACATCCCTCAGTCACCCTTCAGCTCTCCCTACCGCCCCCTGAGCTCCAGGTCTCATCAACAGCCCCTCGCGACACCCGCAACGCTCCAGCCACCCCCCGTGTGCCTCGACAAGCCCCCAGTGACGAGCCCCAGACCCACTCACGCCTTTGGCTGCCTGAGGGCCACGAGGGGCGCCCGGTGTCGCTGCCCAGTGCCACTGCCTGTGCCGCCGCCGTGTACCCACTGCCGTACACCCACTGCCTCGGTCCGCCTCTCGCTCCGAGGCCCTGGCCCCGCCTCCCGGCGCAACAGTTTCGGTTCCCCCCTGCACACACAGCGCGGGGGAAATGCGCTTTTTTAGCCACGAAATAGCGCGGGGGAGAAGCAGAGAGACATAGATGGAGGGGGGGAGGGGAGGGAATATGGGGGAAGGAGGGGGGAATGGGGGGGAGGGGAGGGGGATGGAAAACACGGCTATGGGTCAGGGACGTGGGAATGCGGCTATGTGCGGGGAAAATTCCTCACTCTGCACCGTTTGCGGCAAACAAATTGAAGCCGAACAGACTTTTGTCCAAGCAGAACTATCTTGTAACTGTATTACTCCATACCTATATGTAGACTCTCTACTGAGCCCTGGGTCCTAGGTCTCCCGCCAGGCAGATGTTTCTTCATCTAGCCACATCCACACACACCCATGTGTGCTGCTTCCAGCCACACAGAACAACCCACCACAGAATTTCAAGTGGCTTTCCGTCTTGATCTTGTGATTCTTTTCACACACGCACTACTCTTAGCTCTGTCTCGCTCAGGACCACAATATTTTTGCATTATTATTTTCTTCTTTTATCATCCAGGTGGCTGGTGTTGTCCGTCCAGCTGCTCCTATATCTACGAGGATACGTGGGCATACAGATATGGGGATGTGGCATGGGAATAGATGGGGATACAACTACAGGGATCTAGTATGGGAATACATGGGGATACGACTATGTGCCGTACACCAGGCCATAGCCATGGGGATGTGTCTGTGGGGGCCACTGGGCAATAGATGTACAGCCATGGTGTGTGGGGGAATTTGGATATGGTTAACGGATGGGGACTGTGGCAATGGGATATGGGGTGGGGGCATGGGGATAGGGCTATAGGGGTCAGGCCACTGGGGTATGGCAATGAGTCAGGGATATGTGGTAATATGCCTGTAGGACAGAGTGCCACAGGATAATGGCCATGTGGCATGAAAGGCATGGCAGTGGAGTGGGGAGAAGATGGAGACATGGAAATGTGGAGCATAAGGTAATGGGTACGTGTGGGACATAGCTATGGGATGGGAACACTTTAGGACATGTCTGGGAATCGGATTGCTGTGGAGTGGAGGGATATGTGAGCATGGCCATGGATTGAAGTTCTGTGGTGGGATTGATGAGAGGGAAGGGTTAGCAGGTCTCTTCCAACTCCCCATGGCCCTGGTCAAAAGGAGACTTGGGATGATCATGAGCCCACCTGACTCCTTCAAAAAGGTCACCTCTAACAGGGATGTCCCTGCCTTGTGGATGTGGAAGATCCCATGTGGCATGTTCCCATGGACAGGCAGACGAGGACATCCCCTAGTCACAAGAACTGTGTGGAGACGGAAGGAATGGAAGGATCTGAGGGCATGGAGGGCACTGAGAAAGCTATCTCTAGGGGTACTGGCACTGGGCAATGAAAGACCTGGGCTGTCCCTCTCCTGCAGAGTCCCTGAGCCTGGGGCAGTCAAGGACAGAGGGCCTGGTGAGTTATGGGGCCAGCAAGGATCCAAGTTGTGGACTCAGCTGGGCACAGAACTGGATCTGTGGCCATCCACAGGGGTTCCTAGGGTGAGATAGGACCAGGACGTGTGTCCAGGTGAGAACTGAGGGCCAATACATATGTTAAGGGTGTGGAGGAACCAAGACATACCTGAGGGCCACATATGGGAGCCAGACATGCATCCAGGAAGATATAGGAAGAGGCTGTGTGATTGTGGAGGGCAACTATCTCAGACCAGGGTCGCATAGACCCTCTCCATCCATCCATCCATCCATCCATCCATCCATCCATCCATCCATCCATCCATCCATTCATCCATCCATTAATCTACCCATCCATCCCTCTACCCATCCATCCCTCCATCCATCCATCCATCCATTCATCTCTCTGTCACTTACTGCCTCACTACAGGGTGCTGGCTGTTCCAGCAGGGCAGCACACCAGTGAGTGTCCACAAGTTCCTTGGGGGATATCAGTGTTCAGGACAAAGCTTGAAGGGAGAGAGACCCCAGGGAGACCCAGTTCTGGTCTCCTGCCTATGACAGATCAGAATCATCTTAACTGTCCTGGATGAAGAAGCCATATCAAATGGATCATGGGGACCATATGGACATCACTTGCACTGTATAGATCGCATAAGACTAATTTAGGCCCTATGGACTTTTACCATAGGGCATCACACTGATTGTCCAGGACACACAAGAACCCCAAGGAGATCACATTGAGGCTACTTGAACTGCAGTCCACAGGCTGTATGAAGACCATAAAGACCTGGAAACCACTTGGAACATGTGAAGAAGTAACTTGTACGGCATGCTGCTTTAGGGGGAGTGTAGGACAAACTTCAGGGGACACCTCTCAAAGGAAACCTTCTCAGCTCTTCCTTCTGTCCCCTTGCTCCTGACCACAATGGTGTGCAGGTAAGTGCTTCATGATAGTAGGACTCTGATAGTACGTTGTTCAATGCGGCAACGGACCTTCAATATATAGAACGGAAAAAGTCCTGTCAGAAGTGGGCTGGTGGGAAAAAATGAAGAAACAAGCCCAAATGTTGTAAAAACAGAAGTTTTTAATGTTGCTTAAGTGAACATGTTTTCAAAATGGCTTTTTTGCAATCTTTTTGCAAACTCACCTTCTTCTTCCCAGGATTCTTGGCCTTAACTCTACTTTAGAATGTCTGGGAGATAACTCGAAGTTTTCTCATTGGTTTTTATCTATTCCTTTCTGTTGGTTGTTAACCCTTGCCTACCACTGGTAACTTTGTAAGACCCCCTGAACTTTTAATTGGTTATTCTGTAAGTCCCCCTAAAGCCTATATATGTCCCTACCCAAGCAATAAACGCTCTCTTGCTCTCTCCTCTCCTGTGTGGACTCCCTGGGGACCACCAGGTGGAGGACAGGGAGGGAGCATTTTCCCCTCCAGGTAATGGGCTAAAAACCCAGGTCTTGGAGTCCCTCCCTTTCCCAATTCATCGCCGTAGTTCGTTAAAGCTTTTTATATTTAAGCTCAAATGTGCCTCAAGGGGAACAATAAGGGGCACATCCTACTCAGCAGGATGAGGCTGTTGGTGCTGTTTGTGTCAGGGAGTGTATGCTTGTATGGATTTGTGAGGTTAGCTGCATCTATGTGTATCCCCACGTTTCCTATGATGGCTCTACAACTGGTTGGATCTGGAGGCTTGGAGCTGTGGCAGCCTTGTCTCTCTCAGGCTGCTGGATGTGGTAACTTCTAACTGTGGTGACAGAGGGGAAAGCCCTTTCCATCCTCCCATGCCCTGGATGTGCACCCAGAGGCTGGTCTCCAGACAAGGGATGTGCCTCTCTGGAGAGGGGCACAAGGAGTACAATATGCCCATGGATGAGCCCCATAGAGATGCCACCAACTCCAACTCGTCCCGGATGGAGAGAGCCAGGGCAGAGCCTGCAGGGTGGGCCAGGGGTCATTCTTCTCTGGGCTCTCATAAGGCCAGAGCAGTTTGCTATGGCCAGTGGAGGCTGCGGAGGTGAATGGGCCTGAAGGGAGACTCTCCAAGGAGATGCCAAGAATTGGTTGAGCCTGGACGTGGCAAAAGGGGGTTATTCAGGAGATGGGGGCAGAGGAGGTGCCCAGAACAGGAGGAGGCCATAGGGCACCCTGCTGCCGAAACTTTGCCTAGCTCATGATATCTCCAAGGGAGACCGAAAGGGCTGAAGGGGGAAGAAAGCAAAGGGTGGAGAGGGTCTAGGAGGGACCACAGGGGTTCTGGAGAAGTCCAGTGGCCACTTTGCTTTTTCCCCCTGGGTTACATATAAACCCCACCTGCCCAGCCTGGAGTCCTCCCTACTTTTCTTACTGTGGCCAGCTGTGGAAGAGGTTGCATACAGAGAGGGGGGCAGGACATGCTGCCTGCAGATCACAGGAGGACAGGGAGCTACAGACACTGTAGCCTTCAGAGCAGGACAACTGGACAAGCTGCCAGGTGTCCCACACAACTCCAATGCCACAATCCATCCATTCCCTGCTCCCACATCACCTGGAGAGGCAAGCAACTTCCCCTGATTAATCAGCCCTGCATTACAGCCAAAGGGAGCTCTGTATACATCCCTGGCCAGCCCAGTCAAGATGCAGCTGAGGTTGGAGGTCTGGCTCCAGGTGGGGTGAAAAGGAGCAGTGATGTGGAGTAAGGATGTTCCATTGCTCCCACCGTGTGGGAATGAGGAAGCCTGGGTGGATGGGGATTGAGACCATCCCTGAAAGATGCATCCAGACCTACAGGTTGGAGGTATTGCTGTCCCTCCCCCATTGACAGACACCACAGGCTGGGGGAACAAAACAGCTCCTGAGAAGGCCAAAAGGGAAGCCAAGTTTCTTTCGTCCTATTCCGTTCTGTTGAGCCACCAAGCCTGTGGTTTTGTGGTTGCAAAATAACTCCCTATTTCACAAGGCAGAAGGGAAGACATTTCTCCATCACGTGATCAGAACTAAGAAAGAGAAACAAAAAAGTCTTTTCTGGCTTTTCTCCCAGGGTCTGCAGGATCCTAAGACCAAGTCATCACGAGGGCACACACCCGGGCATGTGACTGGGACATTGTGGTTCCAGTTCAACTGTCCCAGCCCTGCATTTTTGTTTGCAGAAACCCAAGCTGTGGGACAGAAGGTGGATTGTGGCAACGAGGTCATAGCAGGACCCACAAGAAGCCGCCCAGCTGCTCAGTGCCTCCAGTCAAAGCCTTCCTCTGAAGAAGCCCTGCTGGGTCAAGTACAGAGAGCGCCAAGAGGAATACGATGCTGCCTGTGACCCATGTGTTGGCCTTCTGTGAGTGCCAGAGACTGTGCAGGCTCCCAGAGGGTGGCAGGAGGCATCCAGAAACTTCACAGAGATGTTACACATCTTCTGTAACATCTGCTTCTCTTACAGGTGCTTGGCTGGTGGCAGAGAGCAAGGCTACACCAAGTGAGTATCTTGGGGAGGTGGTTGGGGAGTTTGGACTCATCTCTGGTCCCCAACCATCTCCCAGGGCAGTTCTGCAGCCTCATGGAACAAAACTCACCCTTGTGTGGAGAAGGTGCTCAGAGGCAGCCCCAGGCTCATGTCAGGGCAGCTGCTGGGGGCTCCCTGTCTTTCTGGCAGCATCTCTCTCTCCTGTGCAGGTGCCCCCAGAATCTCCATCTTCCTGAAGCCACCTGGGGTGATCCCACCAGGAGGCTTCACCACCATCTGCTGCAGCTGCCAGCATGGCAATGGGAAATTCATACTGTACAAGGATGGCTACAAGCTCCGTACCCTGGAGCAGAGTGGCTGCAGGGCCAAGTTTTCCATCTCTAATGCCACCTATAGGGACAAAGGTACCTACAACTGCCATTACCTGGAGGGAGGCACTGTGCTGGCTCGCAGCGATGGCCTGGATGTCATGGTGGCAGGTGAGAGATGTGCTGTTGCCCCTTCTCACAGGGTCACATACCCTAGGTGCAGACTGAGATGCACGCAGGCACTTGGCCTCCCTATCCATATGATGGGCAGGGGGTTTCTCTTCTTCCCTGGCTTGGAGAGGTGGGGACCATCTTCACCTTTGTCTAAGCCTGTTGATGGGTTCATGGAGTTCTTGGTGGCTCCTGGCACCATGTCAAACCTAGGTATGTCTTCTCAAGCCCTCTCCTGTCCCCCCAGGGATCCGTCTCCCTGGACCTGACTTCTCTGTCCTGCCTGGACATGAGGTGACTGCAGAAACTGATGTGATATTCCGTTGCACCACCACATACCACAGTACTGGCTGTTTCCTGTACCTGGAGGGCCAGATCCGAGCCCAAGTACTCTCAAGGGAGCAAGATGACTACAACTTCTCCCATGTGCAGAAAGGTGAGGGGGGCCGCTACAGCTGCCAATGTTTCACCAAGAATGCTTCGATAGAATGGTCTGCTGTCAGCAAGACCCTGGATTTGGTGGTGAGAGGTGAGACATCCCCCCAGCTACTCTTCTCTTCCTCCTTGCAACCTGTCACATCCTGGGGGAACTAGAAAAGAGGATTTAAGAGAGGAAAGCAGCTGTAAGAAGGATACAAGCAGAGGATTTCAGCTTCCTTCAGCTGTTTGAGCCTGGCCAGCTCCTCAGAGACCCTACAGATGATCTACAGACCCTATAGACACAAGGTCACTGGGCTGAGAGTTGGGGCTAAGAGTCAGAGGACACTATCCCTGCACCTACCAGCCCTGGAGACAATCATTTGTCTTGTCACATCTCAGTGGCACCATATGGCTGGCAGGGGCAGCTGAGGGCCACCTCAATGTTCCTTTGGTGCCAGTGGGTGGGGTGACAGGGGAGAGACTATGAGTAGAGGGTGTTCCAGGAAACAGGGATGTGGGAGGTGAAGCTGACAGAGGCCCATGGGTCTCCCTTTGCTCCCTGTGAACTTCCCTTTATCTCTCTTTAGCTGAGGAACTCCCCAGCGTGTCCCATTGTCCTTGTGTCTCTTAGCCCTCAGTGCCTTGTGAATCCCCTTGGAGGATACCTTTGGTCTGGGATCTCTCGGACTCCTCCTCCCAGGGTTTCCCACTGACCGTCCCCTCCCGTCCCCTGCAGATTACACGTTGTGCAACACAGTGCGCCTGGCGCTGGGAGCCGGGCTGCTGGTCCTGCTGGGGCTCATCACGGCTGAAGCCACGCGAAGCCGCTGCTGCCGGAGCGGGAGTGCCCACCCTCTCTCCCCGCAGGCAGCTCTCCTCTGATTGCGGCCAGTGCGGGGGCACCGGGATTCCCTTCCTGCGCCTCGCGGTGGGATAAATAAACCGTTCCTGTCGCTATCTCTGTCCCTGCCCCCGTTCCTTGCCCCTTTTCTGCGCTTGTGTCCCTGTGTGTGTGCCTGTCCCTGTGTGAGTCCCTGTGTGTGTCCCTGTCCCTGTGTGTGCCTATCCCTGTGTGTGTGCCCCTGTCCCTGTGTGTGTCCCTGTCCCTGTGTCCCTGTCCCTGTGTGTGTTTGTCCCTGTGTGTGTGCCTGTCCCTGTGTGTGTCTCTGTCCCTGTCTGTGTCCCTGTCCCTGTGTGTGTCCCTGTCCCTGTCTGTATTCCTGTCCCTGTGTGTGTCCCTGTGTGTGTCCCTGTCCCTGTGTGTGCCTATCCCTGTGTGTGTGCCCCTGTCCCTGTGTGTGTCCCTGTCCCTGTCTGTGTCCCTGTCCCTGTCTGTGTCCCTGTCCCTGCCCGCCCGGGGGGCGCTGCGGGACGGGCGAGCGGCGGGACCCGGCGAATCGCGCAGAAGGGCGGGGCTTCAGGAGTGGGCGGGACCTGCGCTGTGGAGGGGGCGGTGCCTGCGCTCCAACGTGCAGTGACTACTCCGGTCGCTCAGTGACCGCTGCACTGACCCCTCCCTCCACATTGACCCCTCCCTCCACACTGACCCCTCTCTCTGCACAGTGACCACTCCACTGACCTCTCCTGCCACACAATGACCACCCCGGCCATGCAGTGACCACTCCCATGGCACAGTGACCACTGCCATGGTACAGTGACCACTCTTGTGGCACAGCGACCGCTCTTGTGGCACAGTGACTGCTCCCACTTCATAGGCCTCCATTTCTCACATTCGTTTATTATTTTAAAACACTGACGAAACACATCACACCATCATCTATATATATAAATTTACTTTTGCACCACTATAAATTTATATATATAGGGCCTTTAAAACTCTGTACGCTCAGGACACACAGTTCTGGAATAGCTGCACTGAGTACAACAAAAGGATTTTTTTGTTATGAAAACACGGAAAGGAGGCGCCGATATCAAAAAACGCAGAAAAAAAGAGTGCAAAATGAATGAAAGTGCAAAAAGCTTTTGTTATCATAATCACACTCTTTCCACAATATGCTCCCCATTTTCCCCTCCAAGGACAAGGAAGGCTCAGGTCCCAGAGGGAAAGTCTGGGCTGGAAGAAGGGAGCCTGGCTGCAGCCCTCTTGTCTTTCCCTCTGCGCACCTGAGGAGTTCTCTCCTGAAAGCTGAGGAGTGAGGAACAGGAGTGGCCAAGTCACATTCCTCTCTCAGCTCCCTCCTCTTCTCCAATGCACTCATTGCACCCATGGCCCCAAATGTGCCTCTGCAGACAGCAGCTGCCCTAAGCCCTCGACCCTTCTGGACAATTTGGAGAGTTTTTTTCTTTTCTAAAAGTGCTAGTGATCGCCATGGAAATCAGCAGAGGAAGGCAGGGGTAGGCACCTGTGCTCTGGCAGGACAGGCACAAAGCTTCAGCCTGCTGAACTTCAGGCTGCCTGCTCTCACAGAAACAGAGACTTGGGCTCATAGTGTCCCAATACTGCCTATTTCCATGAGGAGGGAGAAACACTTTTCCAAGAGGCTCCAACTGCTCTCATGCACCCAGAATCAGCCACAGATCAGCCCCCACAAAAGACATTCCATGCCCGAGGCTGGTGCATGTGGTGGGATCTCTTCCACGGCTCCACTTAAGCCCTGCCAACACCAGTTGCAGGGGCAGGAATGGCAGAAACATAGGCTTGGGGGCCTCCAGTCAAAAAAACATTTGACTTCACTGACTTAGAAATTTTGGCTGCAGTCACATCTCTCAGAAAAGTCCCAGAGAGGAACTTGTGGGCCAGACCCACCCCCACTTTCCTCTCTGGCTTCTTAGTGACACATCAGTGAACATCCCTGTGAGCAATCTGGTCAGGCAACAGGGGAAGGACAAAAAACTTCAGTGCTTCTGCCTTGGTCACAGCTGTCCTTGATGGTTGCTGATAGGGGACTCCCACTCTATGGGGATGGAGGACTTGCCAAGGCCAGGGGTACAGCAAACCTTCCTTCTTCTGGCTTCCCTGTGGACCAGGGACAACTGCTCATGAAGGACACATCACCTGAGATCCTGTGACAGGCATCTGCTGCCTTCACAGCCACAGAGACCACCACCCTGAATAGTGACACACCAACAGTGGGGGAATGGTGTCATGGTACTCCCATGAACACCCATCCACATGTACGCAAACGATCCTTTTGGTTTAGTTTTAAAGGACACAAGAAGGTTATAAGTTTTAACAGTAAATAGCCCTTGACCACCTACAAACCCCGTAACTCCCTCACCCAGATGAATCCAACAGCTTTGTACCCCAATGGCTGAGTGAGCCTGAGAGGCTGATGAAGTGATGCTCAATTCCACAGGTGTGTGACACAGACCCTCACATCTCTCATCATCCTTCTTGTGGGGCTGGTGTTCCTGACAGCTGCTCCCTGTGCAGAGCTCAGACCTAGTGGAGACCTGGGCTCCAGCTGTGCAGCCAGACCCCCCCAGCCAAGCGGCAGCACCCTGGCAATCCTGTTCAGTTTGTGTCTGCTCTCTCAAGGGAGGTGAGGAGGGCCCAGGTCAGGCAGTGCCATGGCTGGCACAGTGTGGAGATGCAGCTCTGCCTGTTTTCTGGTGCCCAGGCAGAGCACGGCTTGATTGCACCCAACAGTGGAGCAAGAGCCGGCGGTGCTGGTTGTACCCAGACTTGTGGTCCAGCCAGGGCTTGGCTCATGCCTCCTATTCCCCTTCATCAGGACCTTCTAAGCTTCCCACCACCTCTGCTCTCCCAGGCAGCCCTGTGAGACACAAGGCTCTCCATCCTTCACAGTAGTTCCAGATCTGATGCCTGAGTAGCAGCTCGTCTCCCAGCACCCTGGGATGGTGCTTAGTCCCCAACAGAAGGAATAACTTCACCCATGGGAATGGAGAAGATGAAAACAGGATGCTTTCATAAGACATTTCCTTGTAAACTCAATAGCCATGTCCAATGCCTTCTCGTGCCTGAGCACACCTGGAGAGGTCTCAGCATCGTTAGCAGTCTCACAGTTGAAGGTCCCAGGGCTACTCCTCTTCTTCCCCAGCACACAGTGGCGCAGAAAGACTCTCCATCAGACGAAGAGATCAACTTCAGGACCATTACTGCAGACCAAGGGTGTTGTGGGGAGTGACTGTGGGAACCAGGGGCACAGCTGTTCCTTACCACTCCCTCTCTCCACAGCTTGCCACACTGCAGTGCTTGAAGAGATGGAAAGATATAAATAAGGAAAAGAGAGGGAAAGCTGCTGAAATCAAACGCAAGCCTTGACAAAACAAAGACATGGACCAGTTGCAAGTCCTGCGTCAAGAGCAAGTGGCAGACGTTTCAAGAGCGGGTCAAATGTGACCCCAAATATTCAATAACAAAGAGTCAAAATGCTACATTTCCATAGGAAGCCTTGAACAGGTTGACCCAGGTGTGACAGTGGCTTGCAAGGCAGTGCTGCTCCAGGACATCTTGCTGGTACACTTGCTCACATCTCTTCATCCCTGCCTTTGAGCACTGGGAAAGGGGGAGACTGTTTTGCTACTGATATGTCATTCTTGGGAATGGGAAAGAAAATGACCATGGGACTGGGATCACATTGCTGCAGACTATGGAGAGCTTGTGGGAAGGTGGCCGTCCTCCAGCACTGCACTGCTCCAATGGCTCCCACAGTGGGCACACACAGGATGACAGATCATGGAGAGTAGCATGGGTGCTGCCAGGAGGCACAGGGACTCTTCGAGGACCCACAGGCATGTTGGCTTCCCTGGCTTTGCAGCCCTAGCCCTTTTGGTCTCTCTTTTAATGGAAATTAAAAGGGACAGCACTACCTAAGCATTCCCAAAGTGCTTGTGCCCTTGTTGAAAAGGTGCTATGTTCCAAAAAGGACAGAAACAAATCAGTTACGTTCTGGGTTTCTCTTAGCTCTGCAGGTAAGGGATCCAGGGACAACAGAGGATACAGCTCTTCAGACAGCAAAACATGACTGCCTTGTGAGAGTAAAACATGAGACAAGGCAGCTCGGCAGATTGAGTCAGCCAACTCAGGAATACCTTCAGAGGGGACTGTGGATCTGCCTATGGAGCAATGGATGCATCTTGTCCCTGGCAGCTGTCTCCACTCTAGAGCACCTTGCTCCTAATACTTGAACCAAAGAGGGCTCAACTCTCCTTTTCAGAGGATTCTTTAATTGCTGTGAGGGGAACAAGTTATCCAAGCATCCTTTCTTCTGAAGAAGTGCTGGACAAAACAGTCTGAAGCTCAAGAAGAAACAGAGTCTGTTCTGCCCCCAGCCAGCCCTGGCCCCACAGGGTCTTGAGGCTGCTGCATTACAGGAGAGAGGAACAGAGCACAGGCGCTAGTCATGGGCAGAGCAGCAGCCAGGACACTTGATTTCTGAAGGGGCAAGAGATGGCCGCTGCTTTCCGGTGCAGCGAAGGGGCAAAGCAAAGTCATCATCTGGCCTTAAAAAGTGAAAAGAATTCAGAAAAAAAGGCAAAATGAGGAGGAGCTCCTTGGGATTGTCCCTTGGAAATGGTGTCAGCACAAGCCCCGCCACAGGATCATAGTAAGGGAAAAACCCCAAATCTTTCTCAGCTGCTGAACAAAGGCAAGAACAGCCCTTCAATGGTTGAGCACAGATGCAGGCAGTCAGTCCCTTCCCACATCTAGGTGAGTGGAGTAGTGGTTTCAGTCCCCAGCTGTTACACCCTCCACAATGCTCCCTCATTCCCTCAACACCTCCTGAACCAGTGCAAGTCACAGCAGGACATGGGGACGTCTACGGTGCTAAGATAGGCCAGTCCCACATCCACCCTCCATCTCTGCAGCCACCCCCAAGGCCTGGGGTCAGCCTGTACCCAGCACTGGAAGAGAAGGGCAGTGTAGAGGGAAGAAGATGGGAGAGGGAATGGTGAGAGAGCAGAGATGTGGCATCTGAAAGGACATGAGCAGACATGACAAGCTACGGTCGGTTGGGGGAATCTCTGTCCTGACCA